TCGTTATGTCATTTTTAATAATCATTATGTCGTTTCTTTATGCAATATTAAAAGTAAAAATATTTCTAATGTAATCTTTCTATCAAGAGTAATTAAAATAAATGAATATTTTTACGTAAATTTGTAATATTTGTAATATTTTACTCACCGATATAATGCGCAGCAACGGAGTTGTAATGCACGTTGATCTGTAAAATAGAAATATATTCAAATTATAACATATGAAATAATTAATATTTTAAAAAATAATTATTGCATACAATTAAAACTGCGCATTTTAAACAAATTTTATTTTGAGAAAACAAACATAGAATTTTTGTATAAAGTCTTTTCATATAAAATGTAATAAATAAAAAATTCAATTTTTATATAAATAATTTAAATAATTAGAAGTCTTAAACAATATCGAAAAATACTGTATATGCATGCATTAATTATTGTAAGTATATTTTATTAAATATCTCTCATAATAAATATTTAATATAAAAACTTTTTAATTTTTTTTGAAATTTATACATGGTATGTATTTCAAAACATGGAAAAATTAAATCTGCTAAAAAAATTATATTTAGTAATTTGAAATTTAATTTTTTTAAATTATTATTCTTATTTTGATTATTAATTTTATTAATATTTACTTTAATGATACCTGAAACTACGATTCCATGGAATTAATTAATGAAACTTTCACACATTTTGATATATACTACTGTATATTGTATCATAATATTGTATGTAATATAATATTTTTTATGGCACTCCCAATATTATATGTTTACTTGTAGAGAATATTCTTATCGATAAAATCGATGTAATGAAATACAAGAATGATTCTTATGATCATATACTGATCATGATACTGAAAAATATACATAATAATGCAAATTGTTTGACTGTATTTCATGACGATTATAATATTAATTATAGTAATCAACAATTATGATGATTATAATATTAATTATAGTAATGAATTATAATATTATAAATACTGATTATAATATATTAATTGAATTATGATTATAATATTAATTATAGTAATGATTCCGATACTTACAACGAAATATATCTGCACCACAAGTTGCGAATAATTTTGCGAAATAATCGCGTATAATATGTACGCCTAACCTTTCAACTTCCGCTACGACATTAATCCGAGTTTTTCGCGATTTCACGCACAATACACACATGACTAAATTCATCAATAAACTACACATTCCCTAACTAAGTATATTTTCGTTAAAGGAAAAAACCATTATTACTAAAATGCAACAATAGAGTCAGATGCTTCTCTCTCACCGATTCTTTTTTTTTCCTTCTGCTCTTTCTTTTCCTTCTAATCCGTTCTTTCGCACCTAAATGCGCGGGAATACATCTGCACAAAAGTCTATGCTTAAATTTCTCAAGTTATGCCACTCTTTCGTTCTATCGTGTCACTATAATTCGATTATAAACATGACTCAAAGCTGTCACAAAATATTGTATATCACTAGCACATCTAGTTATTATTAAATTAGTTTTCATTAATATTAAGGCGCTATATCTGTATTGCAACACACGTAATAATATACTTTATGACAGACTGTCACTTTTAATTCGCGTAGTATATGCTTGGAATCTCGGACTCGAATTAGCGTCATGAAGTGAAACGTGGAATTGAAACTTGAGATAATCGTCGCGTCGCGCGTTTTCGGAATCGGATCATGAAATTGCGCGCCAACGCGTCAGAAAGGTTAAATTATTGCACAGTTAAATATGGCGCCGGAACGTTTGTGATGCAGGTATAATCGCGAGTGTTAAAAGAACAGACTCGATTGATTGCATTGTGTGAATATTAAAAGAAAAGAGAGAGAGAGAATTAGTCGATTATTATAATTATTATTGCGACCGCTGTAATCATAACTACATAACGCTACGAAAAATCATTCTCATTACGTCCGAATTATAATTTTAAATTATTGAGAAAAAATATCGCGTTTGCAGGTAAATGTGTAATATTAAAGGTACCAAGAAAAGTATCGGTAGGCTGTCGTGTTATGCGTAAATATAGTATATCGTGTCAAAAGTGCAAATGTGTGACAGTTTCGTCCATCAAGTCCGTGGGATAATTCCATAATTTCGAGCATTAAAGTGAGTATTAATAAGCTCAGCAAAAAATTTTAAATTACTAAAGAAATAAATATTGCTGGGAGATAAACATATAGTATCGTAAATGCCGAAAAAAATATCGGATATGATATATAATTATTGCATTTTACACGCCGATGCAATATCGATAGATAATCGACTTCTAACATTATTAAATAGGCAATTAGATTAGATAGCAATTATATTATTTGGAGTAAAGATTCATTACTTATTATTCAAATACAAATAAAATATCTATAAAAAATTATTTATAAAATACAAATTATTTCTTTAAATTTTATAGCAACGTTACGTACGTGTAATTATTTAAAACTTGTTATACAAAAAATAAGGCGACAATTTTTTTAGACAGATTTAGTTTCTGTAAAATATATAAATAAATAAATATATATGTATTTCGAAAATCCTACATGAGCTAATTTCTATATTTAATATTTTTTTAAATATCCTAATAAAATGAAAGCATATCTTTTATGATAGTATGTGTTATAATAGTATAATTTCTAAATTATACACTTGCGAAGCAATTAATTTTATATAAATAAATTATTTACTCACCCTACAGTTGCTCTGCTGATGTCTCCTCAGGTTTCCTTTCTTATCCATCCTTTTGTATTGTGGCACTCATACAATATTCACTCACGAAACACAATTACGCGTGATATTTTGTACAACACTCCCGATTATAAAACGTACTATTATATGTATATTAAGAAAAAATAGTAATAGTAGAGTATTATTTTATATTCTCGATATAATAATGATGAGCAAATTATATTTAAATTGAAAAGTTTAAAGTACGATGCAAGATATAATCGAATTTAAACAAAATAATCATTAACGTGTATATATATCGGAATAAAACTATGTATTTATATCTTTAATCTTTTATTAAAATGTTTATGAGTCATTAATCAACCGCAACTGTTCAATCATAGGAATCACTAATTGCAAAAGTTATAAGAAATAATCTTACATTTTGAAGAGTAATTCTATGATATACAGAGAGGGTCGCGTTATTGCCTTCTCACTCGAGTGTCGTGACGCAAATGATAAGGTCAAGGCATGTGAATAACAGCACTCTATACCACGTAAAGCGAAATATGATAAAATATTTAACGCACTACGAATAAATTTACAAGAAATATTCTATTGTTTTTTTTTCAATATTATATTAATTATTAATCAAGAATTGATGTGTCATATCAATGCTGATATGATGTTAATTATTCGTTATTATAATCGCGATTCAACGACTCATATATCATTATATATGTTCTTAATTGTATGTTACGTAAATATGATTAGCAATTTAAATCTAAATGAAGATTTTAAAACGCGAAACATGAAATACATTTGAATCCAAGCATATTTAAAAAACAATTGTCCAAAAACATCACAAGAAACGATTATTTATTAAATAATTAAATTCGAAAATGATTAATTAATTCTCAAGATGAAAAATTCGTATCATAATAATCGCTATTTTCAGAGTTTTATATTATTTACCGACTTTAACGTCATTTGCCATTTTCGTATCGAGAGTGTATAAATCAAGTAAATCAAATAACGAAAAATCATGATTAATGATTAATCCATAATTAATAGAATATTTCCTATGAATTTATTTTGCGATAAATATTTCGTGATAGCGCGAGATAACGAATTAAATCTTCTATTTTAATATACATATATTTACAAGTAAAGCTTTATCAATTGCGCGCGTTAATAGTCAATAATTAGAGTAAATTTTAAGAAACTATCGCGCTTGGCAACTTTTAATAATTTCTTTATCGTTTCTTTAAAGAGACATTAAAATACGTAGTGACTCGGACCGTTTCTCGCTCGAAACTAACTGTGTCCCAATGACAAGGCCACGGCGAGTCTCGCGCGCGTATGTAAACAATAGCACATTCCAGAGAGCAAGAGACGTACCATGACATAAAAACATATAAAATACGTCATATATCTTTGACGTAGCACGCGCTGTTACTATACCTTATACACATGCGCGAGGTTTGTTATCGTCGTACCTTTGTCATTCACTCGACGGCTCGCGAGTAGGACGGTAACAATTCGAAATTCTGCTACGTACGCATCGTTGTTTTAATAGTTAAATATTTAAATACAATTACGACAAGTATTAGGAGATGCCAAGCGCGATTATTTCATAATATTAATATAATTAGATATTATCAATTCACATGACTGATTAAATCCTATTTGTAATTATATCTAGAGGATTATATTTACAAATTATTGTTTAATTCTGAAAAATTTAATGATTATTATTTATGAAATCCTCTTTTAGATATATTCGAAAGTATTTGGCATCTCTGTTTAAACTTTTCGCTTTAAAAATATAAACACTTTTCGATTTAAATATAATTCGCTCACGTTCATCTTAAATTGAGAGCACGAAGTACGTATGTAATATATCGAATAATTTAAGTAATAAAAAAGATATATCACATATCAAGATATATTATTTTGTAATAATATCTTCATTTTCCGCGATTTATATACATGAAATATATCATGTATGTCGAATTTTTTTAATATGTTTTCCGACACTCTAATACATCTAATTAGTAATTAATTCGACTCTCGTTGTATCACATTAGAGCAGAATCGCTGCTATCGTTTATTTATATATTGCAATTGCTTATTAAATATAATCGTTAATAATTATATAGTATTTTGAGCGAATTATATATAATGTTTTCGAATTGTTCTTCCGAAAGTATAATAAAGTGCGCGTAATAAAGTATGCAATTAACGTATCGGGAGTGCCGTGCAAAGTGTCGCGCGATCGTCGTATTCTATCGATTAGTGCGCGCGCGACTGTAATTAACTATGTTTGCGCGAGTGTGAGTGCCATGAGGAAACAACAAAGGATAAATAAGAGAGAAAGAGGAAGTCCAAAGAAACATCGAGCACTGACGATGCAACTGTATGGTAAGTAATTTAGAATTTAATTGACTTTTGAAAATAATCGCTTTTTTTTAAGTTATGAATTTAAGTTATGAATTTCTTTTACTAATTATTTATTTAAAGGCGCAAACAGAAAATTAATTGTGTATAATATTTATTTTAAGAAAAATTTAATCATATATAATAGTTATTATAATAGTTAATAAAGTTTTAATAAAAAATTATATTATGATATAACACTTTTTAAAATATTAATTACTTTGATCATTACGTTATAATTTGATTTTATTCATATTTTACAGATCAACATGTGTACTCTATAACTACTATAACTACTCTACTACTACCACCCCTTCGCTTTTGCGCGGTGAGTACTAAAATATTTTTTATTTAGAGTAATGAATTTATATTTATGTCGCACACCCACAATAATAAAATATTTTATTATTATCATAATTATTTGATACACAAATTTATTATCTATTTTTACAATTGTTATTATATATATGAGAAGAATATTAAAAAAGCAAATTATAATTAGAGGTGTACATAAATCTAATAAATTCATTACTTCGAAATTTTCTATATATATACAAATTGTTTTTTTAAAAAGTTAATTAATTATATGCATAAATAACCGTATAAAATATTGGACAACTATTGAAAAATACTGATTCTTATAAAAAAAAGAACGTTAGAATGTTATCCGAAGGAGATATACCTTTGCCGACACTCGTACATTTATAAGCATGATTCAACCTTCTATCTTCAAGTCGCGCGATCCGTTTTCCAGATAGCGGAGAAGCATTTTTTCGAGTACAATTGCTTTTTAAAGAGATAACCACGGAGAGCGCGAACGGGGACATCGGCATCTCTGTCCTTCCCTTTTTTTCTCGTTTCTCGGGCAGGTTCTTGTTACGCAGTAATGTAAGAGTGAAAGAGAGAAGAAAAATGAAAAGAATCTCTCGAAGAGTGAATGAAAGAAAGGATTGAGTAGTCTCGGAGCTCGCGCAGTCTGGATATAACTAACAAAGGGTGTGTCGAGAAGGGCAACGATGGTCCCCACAATGCCGTCCTGATAAACGAGGCGACATTGTCCGTCCGCATCTCTCTTTTCCCTCCTTCTAGTCTTCCTCTTGCCATTCTTCACGCGCGAGAGGACGAGAGGTCCCTGTCAGTCACGCTACGACGGTTCCTCTGCTTTTTCACAAAGCGAAAATTGGGTCCATAAGTAGGTCTTAGAATCCGAGAACCGTTGCGCGGCAAATAAAGAGTATCTCGTCTTGTAACATAAATTACAGAATTACTCGTATTTAACTAAAAAAGCGTAATAATGTATGTCTGACATGATAAACGTGGCCTTTAATTTTCTCACCGATGCTCGGGTTAAACGACTAATATTGAAAGATTCTCGACGCTAATTTACCGAATATCTTTCTTCAATCGAATCGTCTGATCTGAAGCGTTCGCGTTTTCACTTCTTCGAACAAACACATATTTTTTAAAGGATTTGAAAGCTTTTTGATCGAGAGGCACGCGTGTTAATAACCGAATCGCTTCATTACGATAGCGGCGTCGCACACGGGAGAAACGATCGTTTTGCAGCGTCGAAATTGCGAGATGGCCAACTGGTCGGTTGCGGATTTAAGGCGAGAAAGCGAGGCTGCACGCACAAGCAAATGCCCGAGACACGCCACAAGAGAGACGGCTCAAAGCTGCAATTTATGCTTAACTGCCCTGGCAGTTCGTTAACGAGGCCCTGCTACGATCTTTATAAGCGCGACGTGTATCTACGATCGGTTAGCTCGAATTGGGTGAACACGTTCCCGCGGCTTTCCTCTCCTTTTTTTGCCTTCATATTTTCACCCGTTTAATATGCCCGCCGGCGCATAAATAAATCCCTAATTGGGCCGAAGTCCTATTTGTTTCTCTTCTACGTGGCGCGATCGCACCGGTTCCTCGCCTCCGTTCGCAACATCGGAGATAAGAACCTAATTTTGGGAATTAGCGCGAGTTTCCTAATTCTTCCCTTTCGCTCCAGATCCCATGGATTTCGATGTTGAAATTCTCGATCAAAATCGTGAAATTTTTAATTAATAGAAGCTAAGACTGAGTAATAGATATAAAGAAAATAAAAGAATAAATGAAAAATTATCCAAAGTTATAGGTACGAGAGTCTGAAGGAAAATATACGTATAAAAAAAAAATACGTACAACATAATAAATATTTTTAGACGTTATCAAAAAGTACAATTAGGCTAAAAATTAAATAAAAGAAAAACGAGAAAAAGATTAGATGAAAGAATTTTAATAGATATACAGAAATTTATTCTAAAAATGTAGATATATTGTAGAATTTTGTAGATCCTAGAGAGGTTCTATTATTAGCAATATCGGAATTAAACGGATCTTCCGGATTTAATAGAAATTTTGAAATTTCGCGTCGATAAACGAAACACATGTAAAACACGAACACGTGGTCGATTAAAAAATTAGCTGGACACGACGATTCAGACGCGACGACTTTTTTTTTCTTCTCGATAAATTAACCGCCAAAGGTAATCGCAGCTATAAAATTCATGGGATGTTCATAAATTAAAACAAATGTTTTCGATTTTCTTTGACACTGGCGAAAAATCGCGTTTCGGAGAATCTATCGCGAACATCAGCGTGATTAATGACATATATCGTATTTCGACTGGTCGAGACGAAAGTTGAAAATTATTAATTTCCTGGGGTACGATGACCTCGCGTGCCCGATAATGTTTATTTCTCGATGTCGTCGGGTCAATGCATTATTCATGCGCGAATCTCCTCGTCATTCTTTCGCGTGACACGGATATAGAAGTTTAAGTCGTAAAATCGTCGGCAACTTTCGGCAAAGTATGCATTCGTGATTAGCGACATTACAGTCGCTTCTTCCATTTAATCAGTCAGATCGTTATCACAATCAGCGGGAATAACGTAATTAATAAAATTTAGTGCGACGTTCGTGCTAACTTTGGCAAAGCCACGAAGAAAAGTAAACGTTATTTCGCGCAAACATCAATACAGCGATCGTTTTAATGACCGTTACCTTTTCGAATGTGTTGTATGTGTATAAAAATAATTAATTTTATCAAAATATAGAGCCGCTCTATAGCCCTGAGATATGCGTCCCTTTTGGCGTTGCTTACTGCTGGCTAACAGTTTTGGAGAGAGTATCGTCAAAGTTTTAGTTCCGTACGCGTTTCCTCGTAATCTCTATGGCTTGCAAGCCAAGCGGTAGACAAGGTGTTACCGCTTGTTTTTGCCACTGAGCATTGTCGTCGGGAATTCTCGTAAAATAATTAAGAGAGCCGGCTAGAGCCACCGCGACGATGGTATTTTAAAGGGTCGTAAAAAGGACGTTAAAACCCGCGCTGCCTTGCTCCTTTCCACAGGAAGATGTCTGCCATCTGGAAGATCGCGAATCTCACAAAATGCGACAAATATCCTTCCGGATCTCCATTGCTTTTCTGGAATATAAATCGTGAACGACTATGTGACGTCAGTTGAAAGGATTGTCCCTGGAAATGGTAGCAATTAATGTAACATGTCGATTAGCGAGCAAAAAGTTTCTTTTATCGCGTTGCATGATTTGCGACAAAACAAAATAAAAATATGTATATACTTTTGATATGATTTCCAACAAAACAAAACAAAATAAAATATATACATACTTTTTTTTGTTTTAATTATATAGTAATTAAGATATAAAACACATGCAATTATGATTGAATCATCTCACAATACGTTCCGTTTTTGCGAAAATTTTTAATTACGATGGTAGTAAATAGAGTGGGGAGATTTAAAAAAAGTGGAGGCTGATTGTAACAAAGTTAATTCTTTTTTTACACCGTGCTTTCAGAGAGAGAAAGAAAGATCGCAAAGGCCGATTGATACGTTTCGGTTATCGCGCTAAATACTTGATGACGAGAATAAAGAGAGAGAAAAAGAGACAGACGGTAAACCGAGAGCACTGCAATTAATTATGTATACGCGATTAAAAGGAAGGCTCACGCTTTCGTGTCCATAAAGGAGTCGGACGGATGAGGGAAGGAAGAGAGGCAGAGGTAGGTAGGTAGGTGTTGCGTTATGCATCGCACATTCGTGGATGCACTAATTATCTCGAGAATCATATTGCGTTACCACTTGCGCATTAAATATAAGTGGGATCAAAGAAGCTGAGAATCGCGCAAACGTATCTCGTAAACGCCATTAACATATGGAATCTCCGTCACAAGCATGTTTATCCACCTAATCCAACCGGTCTTATATAAATGCTCCATTACTGCCGATTATAATTGACAGTTCAAAGTAACTGCGTCCCATTGGGACAAATATAAATCGTGATAATGACATCATTAGAAACACATCGCGCTTTCATAAAATACACGCGACACTGATAAAAAAAACTGACGTATAACTCGAAGTTAATATATAAAATAGCAGATATCAACGTGACTAATCGTATAATATTGTTTACACATTCGTAAGCGATGCAAGCTCGTTCGTTTGGTTTATAAAATAAAATACAGAGATATTATATCTCGTGTTATCAAGTCGGTTTACATAATTTGATCAGAGGCTATCTAGAAGAGGGTAGTAAACGCGTCGCGTATTTTAATGAAACCCTCGGAAGGCTGGGCGCGAGTGGCTTAACGATTGCATAACGACGAATAAAATTCGCATTCTATCGGCCGACGTTACGTAAGAAGTTTTAGAATGTCCCACAAAATCAGAGATCGTTGCCTTGTATTAGGATACTCGCGTGGTCGCCGCGACACGAAGGCGAAGGCGAGTTGTAAAGTGGGCTGGGCAGATCGTACAGTCTTCGGAACGAGTTTGGTGACATCGAAGGGGCCTTGTCACAGGCCCACCTTGCCGCTTTCCGAGTTCGGCGGCCCGAGTATCGACTTTTCGAGAGAGGCACGGCCTAGAGAAAGTGCGCGCGTATACCTATGTACCTCTCTAAGCGCCTACTTCTTCTTCTCATCGACCGAAAAAAACATACGAGGCCTTCGTCCCGAATGGAACCTTGTGCGACATGTGCTCTCTGCCTTCGGAATGTCTCTTGCCTACTTTGTTGCGCGATGTAACGCCAACTTTCGAAAAGAGAACGTCCCGTAACTTTGACGTTAACGAAGTAAAAGACGACCTGTGCGCGATCTTGCCATATAACCGACGTATTTTATCGTCGATCGATAGCCAGTCGCTGACAAAATTTACAAGTAGAACAACATGTCTATCGATATATATTGCTGGCCATTAATTTGTAGAAATTCACGGAGAATAAAATTTTAGATAAAAAAAATATCACAGCCAATATTTCACGTGGAGTGTAAAT